ATGAATTTGAAGAGTGTGGCCTTTTGCACACAGCCTGTAAATGTCAACAACTAAAGGAGTGTGTAAAACATGTATATTGTAGTGATGGCAGTATACTGTGTATATTTATACTGGCAGTATGGAAAATGATTATTTGGAAATGCTTAAAATGGAAATGATCATTTACTGTGAGGTGAGGTGTGGTTGGGAAACGCCCCCTCAATTACTCAACACAAGCTTCGAAGCCTCTATACAGAACGTGACATCACTACGTTTGCATTTGGATCCTCCTTTATTTCTCCACACGGCTCATCTCACTCGCCGTGACAGTACGAACCAGCCAGATATGGATCCAGCGGCATTCAGCCCACCCAGGGAGCTTCAGGAGGCCGTAATTGACTCTGCTTCTAAATTAATTAACCAGTGGTTAGAGCATGAGGGAGAAGCGTCTCTTTACACTGTGGAAGCCAAGCTACAACACCTTATTTCCAGTTACTCCTGGTTATTGGACTCACTGCACCCGCTCGTACAGAATTTTGTTCTTCACCAGCTTCACCGTCACCCTCCCGCTGTTACCACTCGCCCACTCGCTTCAATGGAGGACGTGCCGTCCGACCCGCCGGACGAGGAATTACCCGGTCCGTCGGAGCCGTCTCCGAGAAGAAAGTGACGTTCGAGCCGCAGGCGCGGCACCCCACAGCCGATTGTAAGGACATGTAAGCAGTCGGCTGTGGTGAGTGAAAGGGACACTTTTTCTGCTGCGTCTAATTCTGTGACTGTGTTTTCTGGAGCTATTTTTTGTGTGCCTGCTGAAGTTAACAATGATCTTTCTGTCTCACCCATGGCCATTGCTCCAAAGACTGCCTTTACTGAGCCCACATTCACCGCTTACAAATTCTTACAAGAATTTGTAAGCGGTGACTGATGGATGCACGAGGAACCTGTTTCTCAGATATCAGCTGGACACAATAGATGTTCTAAAAAACTTGCCATCTCTCTGAGAATCTAAGCCAGCAGATTAGCCACCTGGATCCCAGAGTGGATGAAGAGCTAACTATAACGTCACAATTAAATTTAAGTGATGGGATAAACTGCTCACTAAATGCGACTGTGGCTTTTACTTCATGTTTGTCCCTCTGGGTACATATTTAATGTGAATGAACTCTCCATGGTTCCTCCACAGAGTGGTCCAGGAGAGCTCAGAGGTTCCCTGCTGGAAACCAGAGAGGGAGGACAGCTGCCCAAGACCCTGACTGAGATGTACATCCACTTCCTGGTGGTTCAGGCCAAAGTGAAGAAGGTCAAGTATGATGGAGGAGCTGAGACAGATCCACACTGGAGTCCAGAGAGCAGGAAGATGATGGAGTCTCTGGGAAAACTGGCTTTTGATCAGCTGCAGAAAGGAAACCTGATCTTCTATGAATCAGACCTGACAGAGTGTGGCATCGATATCAGAGCAGCCTCAGTGTACTCAGGAGTGTTCACACAGATCTTTAAAGAGGAGAGAGGACTGTACCAGGACAAGGTGTTCTGCTTCATCCATCTGAGTGTTCAGGAGTTTCTGGCTGCTCTTCATGTCCATCTGACCTTCATCAACTCTGGACTCAATCTGCTGGAACAACAACAAACAACCTCCAAGAAATCTAAACTATTTAACAAACCAAAACTTCAATCTCTCCACCAGAGTGCTGTGAACAAGGCCTTACAGAGTCCAAATGGACACCTGGACTTGTTCCTCCGCTTCCTCCTGGGTCTTTCACTGCAGACCAATCAGACTCTCCTACGAGGTCTGCTGACACAGACAGGAAGTAGCTCACAGACCAATCAGGAAACAGTCCAGTACATCAAGGAGAAGCTCAGTGAGAATCTGTCTGCAGAGAAAAGCATCAATCTGTTCCACTGTCTGAATGAACTGAATGATCGTTCTCTAGTGGAGGAGATCCAACAGTCCCTGAGATCAGGAAGTCTCTCCACAGATAAACTGTCTCCTGCTCAGTGGTCAGCTCTGGTCTTCATCTTACTGTCATCAGAAGAAGATCTGGATGTGTTTGACCTGAAGAAATACTCTGCTTCAGAGGAGGCTCTTCTGAGGCTGCTGCCAGTGGTCAAAGCCTCCAACAAAGCTCTGTAAGCTTTATGTAGTGAGAGCCCGCTACCCATGGGTTCTGTTGGGATTGCTGCAATCAACGTGTCTGTGTGTTATTAAGTTAAACAGACACAGTTATGAATGGGTGCTGTGCATTTTTAAGTTACCCACCATTGCAAACTTGCAGCTGTGCTGATCAAGCCCACCTGGCACTTTCCATATAAATAATTCACTGATGTCTCTCAGAAAAAGAAATAATGTTCTCTTCCTTCCTATCATTGTCTTTTCAGACTTGATGGCTGTAACCTCTTAGAGAGAAGCTGTGAAAT